TACTGGTGTGTGGTGGCGAGTACTAGTGTGTGGTGAGGGGTGGTGAGTACTGGTGTGTGGTACTAGACGGTGTTAGTACTAGAACTGGGGGCGGTGTACAGTACTCTGGCTTACACTTGACAGAGTGATGTAGGCTGGACACCACTTGGCAAGACTGAAGGGGCTAGGCTGGACGTGTGTAGGCTGCAGGGGGCTGGCTGGCTGGCTACTCGATGCTGCTGGGTGGTGGCTGGTCTTAACGATGGGGCTTCACTGTCCTTAACAAGAATTACCCGAAGTTGGAAGTTAGTCGCGGCCTGTGCGGTGGAGATGACAAGCCCGTGTCTGCCAATTAGTGTTTTTTTTTTCTTTGTTTGAAGTGGTTTTAGTTTAGTTTATCCTATTTTTTCTCGCTACTTAGAAATTCTTTTAAGGCTGTTTGTTACTTAAAGATACTTATTGCGGTATTCAACGAAATCCAAATTATTAATACTGTTATTAACCTATGCTAATTTTGGAACAAATATAAAACAACTGTCAGAGCCAGCGGCATAAATCAGATATCCCTTATATTAGCATCAACCAATCACCAACCTCCTTTTAATTCAAAGTCCATCTCTCCCGTGCTGTGAGTGGCTGGTCCAAATCTGGTGGGCGGAGCATCGAGCGTCCCTCCCCTCGTCTCTGAAGTGTTGTCAGGGGAGAGGTGCCAAAGGTCTCAAGATGATGGTGAATATAATATAATATGTCATATCTTCTGAAATAATTATATATATACACGACACATATTCACGGAAACAACACTAGCGAAGATATTGCAAGTATAAAAATCGTTGAATTGTGATGACAACTGCGGATACAAGGTAGGGACCACTCCATCGAGCATCAGGCGCGATCACCTCTTAGGGCGCGGGGGAGGCTAAGACAGAGACCGTGGGGTGGGGAGGGTTTTTGCTTGGCGTCTTCTTATGTTGAGTCTTGCTAGCAGCCGCCACCACCGCTCTCCTGCACCTCCCGGCCGCACCGCCCTCCTGCACCACCGGTAAAACCCTTGGCCACCTTCTGCAGGGAGCTCCCCCCCAACACCGGTCGGCACTACCACTCATCACAACACTAACTGGTTTCTGGTCATCGTTTTTGAGGTGAGTGGTTGATGGGTCGTGCAAGATCTCAACTCCAGTTCAACTTTGGATGATGGCGGTTTTGCTTTGGATCAATACGCAGCCATGACGTCACAAGTGCAGAAGGTGTTGTGGAGGCAGCGACAGGGATGGTGTTGTGTGTGTGCCTCTGACTATCACTGTGGATGTTCGGGTGGGTGTGACTGCAAGCACAGCCCCTCTGTTGTGTCCCCTCCCTCCCTCTCGCTCTCTCTCTCTCTCCCCTCTCCCTTCTTCTCGCCTTCCCCTCTCACTCTACCCCGCATGCACAAGCAGAATGCAACGCTGGCGCATTACAGGGAAGCACGGCGAGGAGGGAGTGTACGTGTGTTACGATGTTGTTTGTGCTTGTGAGTGTACAGGAGAGGGGAGCACGGCAGGGCCATGCTCCCCTCTCCTTCATGCACGCCTCACAGCCAACCACCACACTTTTTACATTACTTCCTTAATTACCACCAACACGCACAGTTAGGCATTTCAGAATGTTTGCATTTACATTTACATATCGTTAAAAACGTATCACCTGGTTGTTCGCCATGTTGTAATTGACTTTTGCTTTAGCGTATGTTGTTGATGTAGTGGTGAGCATGAAGAGTGTTGGGTGTTAGTGACACAGTACACTCACTGGTGGCGGGGGTGATGATCGGGCCGCCCTGCTGTATACCTGCCTGGGTAATTAAGCGGGACTAGGCCAGCAGAGGGTAGCCTCTAGTGGCGACGGCTGCTCTTTTATTGTACTCTTTTTCTGTGTCCAGCTTCACGACAATTTAGTCTTTTGTATGTTTCACAGGTGTGAGTTAACCTGGCCCGCCGGGGGTGATGTTTCTTGCTGGCTTTTGTTGATGTTTTTCTGAATTTAGATGAAAGTGTTTATTATTTTAACAGAGACTCGTGTATATGGTAAACATTATTGAATGATGATATTATTTTTTCTATACTTATCATTTTCTTTTTAATTTTACACTTAAGAGATGACATTTTTTTTGTTCATTATCTCAACATAGAGTTTTATACGTCAAGTTATTTGTTTCGTATACAACAATGGTACCCAGACATTTCTTCGCCACAATGGATAATAAATGTCATTGTTTGGGAAGACTTGGTAAAGATACATCATCACTACTTCATTATCTCACATTAACTGTAAATACAGGACATAATTATTCATCCTTAACTTCATTAAAAATATATATATATACCTTTTTACATTACTACCTTTTTGACAACAACGTTGGTGGGATACTGAGTTAGTTGGTCACTGAGTTGACTTATGAACATTGAACAGAGAGAGAGAGAGAGAGAGAGAGAGAGGTAGGTGTTTGGAGTGTGACCATCCTGAACAGAGAGAGAGAGGTAGGTGTTTGGAGTGTGACCATCCTGAACAGAGAGAGAGAGAGAGGAGGTGTGACCATCCTGAACAGAGAGAGAGAGAGAGAGAGAGGTAGGTGTTTGGAGTGTGACCATCCTGAACAGAGAGAGAGAGAGAGAGGTGGGTGTTTGGAGTGTGACCATCCTGAACAGAGAGAGAGAGAGAGAGGTAGGTGTTTGGAGTGTGACCATCCTGATATTATCTCATATCACTTTATTGTTAACTGTTTAATACTCGAGCAAGATATCGTAATGAAATAATTGTAGACGATAGAGTAATGAAGATGGGAAATTAAATTATATGATATTGGCATGCATCCCACACTGAGGAAGAAGTTTCATTATAAATTATTATCAAATATTTACCATCAGTGAAAACACAAGAGCTACAACGTGCATTATGAATTTTAATTTTATCAGTTTCCAGAATTAAGAGATAAAAAGGGTGATGCAGGTGTGTCAGATGTTGTGTGTCAGGTGTTTGTGGATGATGGTGCTATTAATCCTTAAACAATGTAATGAGTGTATGTGGCAGAGACTTATTATTTATTGTATTGCTATAACTTCTTGCAAACTAGTGCATGTAATTAGAGTAATTATGTCATTCAAGGCGTCATTCACCATCTAAGTCAAATTTAACTTATGATAAAGATTAGTTATTGTAGTCATGGTATTTTTTTCACATTATCTTTATATACAAAGTTCAAAATGTTGATAGTATGATTATTTTGAAGTTATATATCAATCATTCATTAGAGACAAAACAATGTATATGACCATGATATACAACAGCAGTTATTTATGAATGTCTTACTTTGGCGCATTAGTCGTGTCATTGTTAGAGCTAATGAGTATTATGGATTATAATTAACTGCATGAGTGCGTTTGTATGGATCAGATGTTAAATTTAATTGTTTAGAAAAGTTGAAACATCATCACTACAGCCATATTGAAATACAACCATGACGTGGGCTGTACATTTGACACGCGAAGATATTACTGATAATGGCTGAAATTACTAAAAATCTTGATAGGGAATGGAAACAGGAATAGGAATAGGGAGGCGGTGAGAACAGCGGGAGCTAGAGATCAACAGTTGGCGGGCGACAGTTGCAATTTGAATTTAAGGCCGTGGCAGCGCCGCTCTTACCGGGGCTACTCTACTGTACTGTACTGTCAAAGTTTTTTGTGGCCTCAACCTCTGCTGCATTGCTGCCGCGACTCCTCTGCCGCCGTGTTTTTTTCCCAACCACGGACAAGGACTCGCTAAGGCTGTCTGTATGAATAATAGTTACCGTGTATGTCGTAGTCTTATGTAACCCTTGTTCAGATCATCACTATTCTATTAGTTGATATTAATATTTGCCAACCAGTCGTGGCCTAATGGAGTATATTAGGCTGATATTAATAAATAGGCACTGACCCCGTACTTAGTTATACAATGAATAATGTCATTGTAAATATTATATGATCAGCAGTGATCTTTCCGAGTCATTTAACCTAAACATAGGTTAGGTTAGTGTCGTATATTTATCTTATTTTTATATTGTTCCTCACTGTATCTCTGACTTAGGGTCATGTGATGTAACTCGGTGTCAGATGTCTTGGAATAAACAATATTTAATAAGTAGATGCTGTTTATAATTTCCTTATGAAATGTTTCCAACCTTTACAGTTATAACAACAATTCCGCAATGTAGAACAGTATACAGTATATATATTAAGCTAGATTAATATTCTTTAGCTACGATTCCATTTACGATGACCTTCTTGCCCTGGTCTTTTTCAGCAATATCGCCTTTAACACATGGAATTCTGCACTTTTCGAAGCTTTGGAGGAGTCTCGAAACAAGTTTCCTGGTGGGAATTATTAGCTAGTGCTGTACTCAAAATATCGAAACTTCGAGATCTCTCCAGAGCTTCAAAAGGGTGGTATTCCTGAAACAAGATCAGGGCAAGAAGGTCATCGTAAACGGCGTCGTACACCCAACGACTGTTCTTGCAATTGGCCCATAGTTTCTACAAGTTAACTTTTGTAGCTGAATTTAGGATAAAAAATAATAAGATTTGTTTCAACAGTCAGTATTAACAATTAAGTAAAATAGTTAAATTAAGCATGATTGACAGTAGTTTTCTTAGGTTCAGTGGATTTTATCATTATTGTTTATTATTAATATTATTATTATTATTATTTTTATTATTATTGTTTATTATTATTATTATTGTTTATTATTATTAGTAGTAGTAGTATTATTAGTATTAGTATTAAAACAAAAAAAATTACCTAACATAGACAAAAGCTTTTCTCTGAAGCTTTCACGAAGTTTTCAAGTACTGTTTTACCTTAGTCTAATACATAATGGGCTTCTTGTGCTTACATCTCTCTTAGTCGGGAAAACTAACCCTCTGTTCTGAAGCTTCATTGGCCCAAAGGTTGGTGTAGGTAGGACCATCGAACCAATGAACCGTCGGGAATATGTGACCACACCTTTCAGCCATCGTATAGGGGGCGTAGCTATAGTCCTACGCCGCTGCCCTGCCCTCTTGCCCTGTTCTTCTCACTGTTTCGTGTTACACATTCAGACGTTCTTCATTATACCGTGTTCGTTCTACCTGTGTTACCCCCTGTTGTTCTTCATTGCTTCGTGTTCCGCGTTAAGTTGTTCCGGCGTTTCGTGTTCTTCCGAGGTATAGGTAGGTGTTCTTGATGTTATAGAATTGTTCTGGTGTTGTTATTCTGTTGTAGCATTGTGTTCCATGTTCCGTGTTTTGTTGTTATTTATCTAATGTATTGCGTGTTCATGTTCCGTATTCCCCCTGTTCGGCGTGGAGTGATCTTCCGCTCTGTTCCTCTGTTTTAACAAGGTTCTCGTGTTTTATTCTGTGGGGGTTCCGTTTAGAACCTTTTTTCCACTGTTTCGTGTTTTACTGTTTATTCGGGTAAATTTGTTCTAACATTGTTCCACTCTGTTGTCCCAGCTTCTCTTAAATACCGTTGTTGTTTGTGTTCTTACTGTTGTTTACATGAGCTGGTAACACTATACTGTTGTTCCTTTGTGTTACATCCGTTGTTTCCTCCACATTCTACCGTTGTTCCACTTTTCCTCTCCACCTACCGTTGTATTTTTTACTTCATATCCTTGTTTTCTGTTGTATTTCTGTTTTTTCTCCACATTTCGCTGTTGTGTTGTTGCCCTGTTCTTTAATTCTTCTTTATCCTGGCCTATAGTTTATTTTGCCGGCATTGTGGATTTATTTCTCCGTTTTACCGTTATTCTAATTTGTTCTTCATCCTGCCGTTGTTCAATTTTTTTCTCCGTTCTGTTGTTATTCTCGTCCGTTATCATTTTTGCAGTTTTTATGTGCCTGTTTGATCTCGAATCGGAGTTTACCGTTATTTGACTGTTTGTAATTTCACTGTTACACTGGTTGCTTTTTTCGTATTTCACCGTTATTCTAAGATTCAGTTATATCGTTAGTATTTTATATTGCCGTTATTCTGTTTCGTATATTACCGTTGATCTGTTGTTTCGTATGTTTACCGATGTGGCGCTTAATGATGATCTGTTTTGTCCCGTTGTTTAGGGATCTTCAGTATACTACCATTTACCTTT